TGATTTTTGATAAAAAGAATTTAGAGTTTGCATAAATGTTAAAGGCCCTGTCCTTACACTTTTATTTTAACTTATTGAATTCCTTCACCTATTTCTCCCACCCACCCTCTGTCACTGACAACCGCTAATATGCTTTTTGTATCTGTGAGCTTGTTTGTTTGTTTGTTTGTTTTTAATATTCGACATATACGAGAGATCCGACTGTATTTGTCTTCTCTGTCTGAATTATTTCACTAGCATAGCACCCTTGTGGCCCACCCCTATTGTCTCAAATGGCAAGACTTCACTCTTTTTATGGCTGAAAATATTCCATCGTGTATATGATATATATCATAATTTATTTTAAAAAATTTTATTTTATTTTAATTGTTGTTCAGGCACAGTTTTCTGTCTTTTGCTCCCTATGTCATCATTTCCTTATCCATTCACCCTCGATGGGCAGTCTGGTTCACGTTTTTATTGCGTGGCAGGTGCAAACAGTAAAGACGGGGGAAAAAGAAACAACTTCATTGCTTGCCAAGTAAATGCCAGGCAATTTCATAGCATTTTCACAAATGCTACTTATTTAACCCTGACATGAGTTCTGGGATGCGGTTCGAATCCTCTCTTGACAAACTAGAAACAGAGTTCCAGGGGGCCGAGTGAGCTGGGAGTCGACCTCCCTTCCCCTGTGTCTCCACCGTGCCACTCCGCACGGGGCATGTAAACGTTTAAGTGTTGCTCCTCGAGATCCCTTGTGTTTTATTTTTGTTTCCTTCTCACGTATGTGGGTTATTTGGAGTTAGGTCACTAGATTAGAGTAATGCATACTCCTAGTTAACTGAGAGCTCTAGTAAATTCCGGGATGGCTAATGGGTTTTGTTGGATAATTTTGTAGAAATCTCATCTTCTGTTGGTAAACACAGTTACCAAATTAGTTAAGTGATTTCTTACTTTGGAGTTAGGAATACATGAGGATGATAGAAAGTTGAAATCCTTCCTTTAAAATATTTGACATATTTTTTCAGTTAACAGTTAAACTAACACAGCATACGGTGGAGGTGGGCAAAGGGGGCGGGGACCACGGGACATCTGTAATGCTGTCAACAATAAAAAGTTTTTAAAAAGCGAAACACAGTATTTTATTTTTATACCATGACATGCTGGGTCACTAGTGATGTGCTGTTGAAGATCAAAAAAACAGCTCTTTGGGGAAAAAAAGTTTGTGTATGTGTCTTTGTTCATTATCAATTTTATGGATATAAAGGTTATAGCTCATAAATTACAAATACAATAAAATTTAAAAATATTTAAACTAGCAAAAAAAAAAAAGGATTGAGACACCCAGGAGAGCTGGCAGTGCAGCCCGTCAGCAAACTAAGAAATGTGCAGCGTGCCCTTGTGAGCTGCCACTTCCAGAGCAGAGTAGGAAGCTGGGCTCTAGGCAAGGAGGGCAAGTCAACGAGAGAGGCCTGCGTTCTGGACATTTAGGGGTGAACTGTGTTATATATACCCTGTCTGCACGGGACCAGCGAAGGTCCCAGTCCCAGCTGACCGGACATCTGGGAGGCGGCATCTGGTCTTCGGACAGCTGGTCAAGGCAGCTACTGGGTTTCTTTGGTCTACTTTCCACCTTTCTTGTCCTATAAAACTGATTTCTTTTCTCCCTAAACTTGCAGTTTTCAAATAGCTGATTATTTTTTCCAAAATTTTTATTTTTTTATTGTTGTTCAAGTACAATTGTCTCCATTTTCACCGCACCATGGCTCCCCCACCCCCCATCCCTGCCTCCCACCTTCAAACCCACCTGTTTTGAATTTGTCCATGTGTCCTTTATACATGTTCCTTGATGGACCTTCCCCTGTTACCCCCCATTAGCCCTCCCCCCCACTGGTTACTGTCAGTTTGTCCTTTATTTCCATGTCTCTGGTTGTATTTTGCTTGCTTGTTTGTTTTGTTGATTAGATTCCACTTATAGGTGAGATCACATGGTACTGGTCTTTCGCAGCCTGTGTTATTTCACTTAGCATAATGCTCTCCAGTTCCCTCCACGCTGTCACAAAGGGTAGGAGTTTCTTCTTTGTTTCTGCTGCATAGTATTCCATTGTGCACATGTACCACAGTTTTTTGATCCACTCATTTTCTGATGGGCACTTAGGTTGCTTCCAGTACTTGGCTGTTGTAAATTGTGCTGCTTTGAACATTGGGGTGTATAGGTTCTTTTGGATTGGTGTTTCAGGGTTCTTAGGGTAGAATCTCAGTATTTCTTCTTTATGAAGGAAAGAGCCCCACCATGAAGGGTCCTGCCCGAGTCCCTGATGTTTGCAAGGCTGGGAGGCAGGGGCTCCTGGAGGGAAAGCACAGGCCCTGCTAGCTCCAAGTCCTCAGACCTGACCCCAGGAAGGGGATTTTCCACTGAGGATTCCTTGGCCCGACCCTCCACCTCGGTGCCTGTCACCACCTTCCTCCCTCACAGACACACTGAAGCAGAAGGCCCCAGAAACTTGTAAACAGGGTGTGACAGCCCCTCGTGACAGAGCTGCCTGTGGGTCTGGGACACTCAGACCACAACTCTGACTTGGACCAGGGGCAGCGAGTTGGCAGTTGTTCACGTACGCTTTCCACGCTTGTCTTTTCACGAGGAAGGAAAGCGCAGAGCACCCATCGGTGATCGTCTCACCAGGAGGCCAGGGCTGGGACTCCTGCCACCGGGCTCCCCGCCTCTGGTCCCCGCCAGAGCCGAGTGCTTCTCCGGGACCCTTGGTCAAGGCCCCGTTGTTCCTCAGAGCTGCGCCTCAGGGGCCGCCTCGAGACCCCCAGTAAGGCTGGCGACCCAGCAAAGAAAGTGCAGTCTCTGCGCTGCCGCTGCAGGAAGCCCTGTTTCTAGCCCTGCTGCTGTTTTCCCCTTTCTTTGTTTCGCTTATCTTAACATCGCTCAGACCTTATCTGCTTCCTGTTTTGTAAAAGGAGGCTTTCAGGAGAGTCAAAGTAAATGAATGAAGGATGGATTTGAAGCATAAGTTCCAAGTGGATTTTTTTTTATATTTGCTGAAGAAAACAACTTAAACGGGGGGAAAAAAGTAAGGAAATGAAAACAAACAAAAAATCATAAATAAGAGATAAAATGGAGGGGATAAAAGCCTCTTAGACTAGAACTAAAAGCAAAACCACAATGTTTGGCTTAGAAGAAACAAACCTGAAATAAAAAGACATGAAAATGTAAAAAAATAAAATGATGGCAAAATCTGAATTAGACAGACACAAACCAAAGGAGGGCAGCAGAGGTAGCAACACAAACAAAAGCAAGATCCCAGTGGAGCAGGGCCCCAGGACGCAGTGCGCCCTGCTCTGCGCTCACGGCGAAGGCGCAGCTTCACTGGCAATCTAGGTGGCCGTTCCTGCCTCCGAGCCAGTGAGGACCCAGGAAACGCCCGCATCCTGCTGGGGTCGGTGAGCCCCTGGAAACCTCCGGAGACCAGCTTGTATGAAGTGTGAAGAATATGAAAAGTTTCTGATCATGCAAACTGTTTTCTTCATGATTTGTTTTATTGTACATATTCTGCTTTTTATACATTAAAGAACATTTTATAAAATAAAACATTACAGCAAATTTGGCAAACAAGAAAAATCACAATCTATGACCATAATACAACTAATACCATTTTTGTATGTGTTCTTTTTTTAATTTTAATTGTTGTTCAAGTACAGTTTTCTGCCTTTTACAGCCATCCCAGCCCACCCCCCCAGCACTCCCCACCTTCCTCCCATTTCCACCCCACCCCTTGTTTTTGTCCCTGTGTCCTTTATACTTGTTCCTGTAAACCCTTCCCCTTTTCCGCTGAAATTCCTCTGAAATTCCTCTGAAATTCCCTCCCCTCACCCCTCTGGTCACTGTCAGCCTGTTCTCAACTTCAGTGTCTTTGGTTACATTTTGCTTGTTTGTTTGTTTTGTTGATTAGGTTCTTGTTAAAGGTGAGATCATACGGTATTTGTCTTTCACCGCCTGGCTTATTGCACTTAGCATATAATGCAAACTTTTTTTAAACTTGCAATAAATTTGGGAAAAATGAACTTTGATCTCTGACATGATGTATAAAAATTCTATTTATTTAATTCTGTATTAATTAAAGATTTACAGTTAATCTAAGAAAACTGTAAAAGCATTAGGAGGGTGTTTTCCACTCTTAGTTTGAAAGAGCCCTTTCTGTATATGGCACAAAAAACAGATGCCATAAAGAAAAATAGTGACAGATTTGACTACTTAATATAGGTGAAATCATAAGTAAAAATGTGGGGAAAACATTTTTGACATTGGTAATAGAAAAAGCCATTAGTGGCAAACAGTTACTACATACTGATAGCTAAGACACATCCAGCAGGAGAGTGATCCAAGGGTGTGAACAGACGATCAATCCACAGAAGAGGAAATCAGATGGGACGAGACCCTAAAATGTGTGTAACACCTGGGGTTGGCAACAGTGTGAGGATGCAGACAATTTGTTGCCCCCGCACGTGGAGGGGCAGATTGCTAGACCTTTTGGGAGAGCAGTTTTGCAGCATTAGAAAATTAAATGGGCTTACCTTTTAATTTAACAGTTTTACTTCTTAGAATATAAATTACAGAAATATTATATTGTTAGGTAGATAGACAGCAAACCCAGGCAGGGAGGAGGGAGACACATCTCACCCACTGACTCAGCTGTCCTGAGTCTGGTCCCAGGATTTTGCCAGGTGTTCCAACATCACAGAAAAACCCCATGCTAACATGGGAGGACGGCAGTCCTTGAAATTCTCTGTATTGTCTCCACTAGCTGGGAGAGAAAACATTTGAAACTGTGCTTTCATCCCAAGGCTAGAAAGGCCAGAAAGGGCCCACAGTGCCCAAAGGAAGAAGCCCATTAACAACTTTTGGGTATTCATGCCTCTCTGCGAAGCTGGCACCACCTTTACCTGTCAATCAATGTGTAATTTCTGCCCCCCAACCCCCCCAACCCCCCCCATCCTGCCGACTACCTAAGTACTCAGAACAAAGGACCTTGCTTTCTCTTGCTCTTGCCACAGCTGCCCTTGCCACCCTTGCTCTTGCCTTTCTCCCCCACCTCAGCAAGGCTCATTCTCTTCCATGAGTACATATCACCTGCAAACCCTGCTTGCATGCTGATAGACTTGCTGATCTGTAATTCTTTACTGTGTCGGTGAGAAGAACTGAGTTTCTGGGAGCTTCTCCTGTAACATAAAGATACACATGAGTTAGGATGATTGTCATAGTTTCATTGAAATAGTGAAAAACTGGAAATAACCTAAAGTTCCATAGTCAGGGGAATGATGAAATAAATCAGGGCACATCTGTACAAAAATCTAACTTCTCAGAAAGAGTGGAGAGGATCTTCTTGTACTGACGTGAAACTATTTCTAGGCTGTGTTATTGCAGTGATTGTCCATGGGTGTGCCGCAGCAGGCTGGCGTGCGGCAAGAAGCACACTGGTGCACGGCAAGAATTCTTAAACGGTGCAGTACCTGGTTACTTAGTCAGGGCCACTCACCTCTTTTCCCTTAGGTTGGCAAGTAAAAAATTACAACAGCCAACACGATGTCTGTTTGGTGTGAATGAACCAAAATTATACCTGTTTGTTTTTGTCAGATCGGCAAAAAATATATTTTTTTGGTGTGCTGCAGAATTTTGGTAATTAGTTTATGAGAGCTATGGGATGAAAAAGTTTGAAAATTGCTGTGTTATTGAATGTAATGAGCAATTTACAGAAAATATATAGATTATGGTCTTGTTTTTGTTTAAACAAATAAACAACAATAAAGTCAATGTTCATAAACAAGTTGTTAACAGTGGTTATTTACAGGAAGTTCAGGTCAAGAGAAGCCCTACCCTTTACTTAGACACTCTGTACTGCTTGATATTTTATTTTTTTGCAATGAGGATGTATTAGTTTTATAATCAAAAATAAAGATTTGAAACAAAATGTCCAAGTTTTCCATGTAAATTGCAAAACAAACTTCATTTTCTGAATGCCTTAGTAATTACTAATTGTGTATTAGTTAAGCACCTTTGCAAAAGATACTTCTTTTCTCCATGCCTCAAGGTTTTGCCAGAAATGCCCAAGTCAATCAGACAGGAAGGCTGGGGCTGTTCAATGTTCCTCAAGGCAAGGGGGACAGTGCTGGTGGAGCCAATGTCAACTCCGGTGCCTGTGGGGTCAGCAAGGACCAAAGGGAGCAGGACCCTTTGGGAGGAGTATGGGATGCAAGCCTCTGGGGCCTGGAGTGTGCTCAGGGGGTGGGGTCTTGGGGCCAGGAGTGCTTATTTAAACTTTGATATCATGTAGTAGACCATTCTGCATGACATGGACCCAGCTCCCACTCAGAGATGCACAGGATCCATGCCCATGGATAGGTTCTCCCGTGGGGAATCAGGCCTGCAATGTACCTAGGCTGCTTTGAGTCTTGGTCTTGCTAAAAAACTCCCTCGCCCTGAATTGAGGACATTTACTGCAAAGTAACTTCCTAAAATCCATGCTAAACCTTCCAAGGATGAGTGTAACCAGTTCAACCACTTTTGCCTTTTCATTTGCAAATATCTCTCTTCTGTGATGTGATTAGCAGCATTGGCTTTTTTGTTTTCTGTATAAGGTAACCACCTAAAGCCAGCCTGTGTATAGTAAATGAGGACCATCATGTAATGTGCCGAGAAACCCAATAAAGGCTGGTCACAGCAAGGGCCAAAGCTTTTGCTCCCCTTGAGAGAAAAGCCATGCTGTCCCTTTTCCTCCACCAGACTCGGTAGCCCTTGTGAATGTCTTATTTCATCCATAATGATGTGGAGGCCACGAGCTGGGGTCCACAGCAATACCATGCATTTTTCTTTATGATGGACTAGATTTTAAGGGTAAACAATGTGTCAAAATGTTCCACCACATAATGACTATATATTCAGGTAAGGGTAGTGAGCAAAGATTTTACAACTCTTTCATTGGATTTTTTGGGACATTCATGAACAGGATTATTAACAACAAAATTTAATTTTTCTTTGTTCAGAATTATGGTTGTGCTAGCCAAAAGGATAAGATGAAGAGGGAGAGTTTCGAGTTTAAATTATCTGGCAAACTCTTTCAAATTACTGATTTTCGTTGTTTTTCTGGACACAGTGTGCAGCAACTAGTTCAGAACTGTCACATGATTTCCTAATGAGGTTTTATGCATAATATCCTGCTAAGTTATTATTTTTCACCAAATCTTTTTCTCACAACCTGTAACCTATCAACTGAGCTCATTCTTATCTCCTCATAATTCACGTGTGTGTGTGGACAAATTCATCAGTTGAGTCATGGTTCTGTGTCTTCTATTATTAGGATATGGCCATTTGGCATACTCTTGTTGATGATAGAATTCCCTAAAATAGCTAAGAATCAGTGAGCCCATATGTTTGATAAATCTGAGAAAGTAAATGGAAATTTGAGACAGCTATGGATTTAAAATGAAAAAAAACTATAGGTACCTTTTCCCCTGGCTTGTCTGCCAACTCCAAGGATACTGTGCAAGGGCACGCTGGCACTTCTCAGTCCTTGCCCAGCCTTCCTGCCACCGTTGAGCTTGATAAAATGGCTCTGAGTTTGTGATCCTTCCCAGAATTATCTTGTTTTCTCTTTGTGGCACATTGCTTTTCCTTTGAACTCCGAGAAGTTCCTGTTCTCCTTCCCCCCTGTTTAGGCTAAAGAACAAAACAGAAACACTTTAGATATTTTCTTGAAGTACTGAGAGAGTTAAAGCCAATGACAGAGTTCTCATTCTGCATTCAAGAGAAAGCACCTGAGTGCCTAGGAGGCAGGAAGAGCTCCGGGAGGGGAGTGTTTGCTCTGGTTCACTTGTTTCACAAACCCTTAGTAGCCTTCCCTTCTCCAGGTACCTGGATTGGGAGATGCTGGGCTTCTGAGATGATCACAGCCATGAACTCAGGAACCTTATGACCCAATTAGAGGAGATGATATGTGCAGGAGAAAATGTAATGCAGTGTTGTAGATGCAAGTGGGGGCACAGAATTGGGAATACTCAGGGCTTCCTGAGGGCAGTGAGAAGATGTGTCAATCAGGAGAAGTAATGCTGGGACAGAGGCTTGAAAGAAGAGTGGATGTCACCAGACAAGCAAGGGGACGAAAGACACCCCTGGGGTGTCTTTCATGGCACATCTGGGAAAAGTGTAGTGGGAGGTTGACAGAGGCCTGGGTGCAGCTCAAGGACTTCTGACTCATCTTGAAGGTAATAAGGAGTCATCGAATGGCTTTAAACCACATTAAACATGTGTTTTAGGTCACTGTGGAGGAAAGGTGGAGAATGCATTGGAGGGAATGAGACTGGATGGGGCATTGATTAGGAGTCCTCTGCAGTGGTCCAGGTGAGAGCTGACAAAAACCTAGGCAGGGGGCTGCATCCATGTGGGGAAGGGAACTGAGGGATGGAGATCCGAGAGCGGCTGTCTCTCCATCAGCTGCAGGAGCTCAAAGGAACCAGGAGAGAAAAATGAGGCACAGATTTTAGGATCAAGTGATTGGGTGAATACTGGAAGAGTTGTTGAAATAGGGAATAACAGTGGAGCATCATCCACCATCAGAATATTTATTGAGCACTGTTCTAAATACTTTATCCATGCTCTGCTTTGTTGATTGCCATCCATTGTTTCATATACTACCAAGAGAGAAAAATTGCTGTCAGCAAACCACACCACACCATGCACTGTAGGGTGCCTTCCCACTTCAGAGCCATTAAAATGTGTGTGCGTGTGTGTGTTAGAAGGGGGTATATCTTAGAATCTAAGAAATAGGATTATCTCACATAATCCTTAGGGCTTATTATTAGCCTTAAAGAAGTTAAAACTTGACCAAAGTCACAGAATGAATCAGTGGAGGAGCCAGATCTCGAGCACAAGGTCTAATGTGTGTTTGGCTCACTATGAAATCACCTGTTTGGCTGATGTTCCAGGCGACAACAGGGCTGAAGATGCAGACGTGTGAAGAAATCTACCGCGTCGGAGTGTGTTGAAGTGAAGGCAGGGGTAGAGAAGGGGCGCCAGTATTGGCTGATAAGGAGAAACTTCTGACATTTTTCTACTCATTTTCCATATGCCCTATAGTTTTTGTTCCTCATTTCCTGTATTACTGTCTTCTTTTGTGTTTAATTGATTTTGTTTGTAGTGAGTCATTTAAGTTCCTTTCTTATTTCCTTTTGTGTATATTCTATAGCCATATGATTTGTGCTTACCATGGGGATTTCAGGAGTTACAACACTCTGAATTGAAATATACCAGGTTAGCTTCAATGATACACAAAACTGTTCCTTTACAGCTCTGTCTTCACTTTCTTTGTTATCAATGTCACTGAATTACATCTTTACACACCATGTGCCCCAAAACATAGAATGATAATTCTTTTAAATGAGTTACTCTCTTAAATTGTGTAGAAAACAAGATTTGAAGTTACAAACCAAAGTTCCAATGGTACAAGCTTTGATATTTGCCCACGTAGTCACCTTTACTGAGATCTTTATTTCTACACATGGCTTCAAGTACTGTGTGCTGTCCTTTCATTTCACCCTGCAGGTCTAGCGGTTGCAAGCCCTCTCAACTTTTGTTTACATGGATGTATCTTAATTTCTGTAATTTTGAAGGACAGATTTGCCAGACATAGGATTCTTGGCTGACAGGTTTTTTCTTTCAGCACTCTAAGTGTGTTGACCATTGCCTCTAGCCTCCAAAGTTTCTGATGAGTAATCTGTTGATTATCTGATGATTCATACATGTAGGATTTTGTTTCTTTCTTGCTGCTTTCAAAATGTTCTCTTTTTCTTCCCAAAGTATGATTATAATGTGTCTTGGCATGAGTATCTTTGAGTTTATGTTTTTTGAAGTTCATTTTGCTTCTTAGGTCAAGCTTAGGGTGTTTTTAGCCATTATTTCTTCAACTATTCTCTGTGCCCCTCTTTTTCTCTCTTCTCCTTCCAGGACTCCCACGATGTGCATGCTGGTCCCCTCCATGGTGTCCCATAGGTTCCTTGGTCTCCGCTTTTTTTTTTTTCAATCTTTTAAATTCTGTTCCTCAGATTTGATAATATACATTGATTTATCTTCAGGTATGCTGTTTCTCTTTTCTGCCTGCCCAAATCTGTCTTTGAATACCTCTAGTGAATTTTTTTTCATTTCTGTTATTATACCTTTCAGGTCTGTAATTTCTTTTTCAATTTTTTTTAGGATTTCTATACCTTTATTGATACTTACATTTTGTTCACACATCATTTTCTTCACTTTCTCCACATCTTCTTTAGGTTTTTGAGCATCTTTAAGAGAGTCGTTTGAAAGTCTTAGTCTAGTATTTCTGACAGGCCATTTTTAGGGACAGTTTTGTTGATATATTTGTTGTTGTTGTTGCTCCTTTGAGTGAGCTTTCTTTCCCTATTTCTTTGCATGCTTTGTGATTTGGGGTTGAAAATGGACATTTGGATCTAATAATGTGATAACTCTGGAATTCAGATTCTCCCTCTTCTCAGAGTTTGCTGTTCTTTTTTTTTAATTGCTGTAAGCTGTCTCTGTGCCAAAGATCAACCTGAGAGATAAATTTGATGTCTTCTTATTTCTTTTGTGAGTCTTTCCTTGGTCATGCACAGTTACTTTCTAATTTTCCATGTATATGCACCTGTGTTTGAATGTCCTAGACTTTAATGTCTGACTCTCAAAAGCGGAGAAAGAAAAATGAAGGTAGGGTAGAGAAAGGATGCCTTTAAATTCCCTGGATGCCACTTCAGCTGGAGTTGTGATGGTCTTGCAACAATGGGGTGGGTGCAACAAGAATGGATGCCACCTCTTCATCTGCAGGTAGATGAGTAGAAGCAGCAATAGGTGATCAGAGAACTGACCTGATATTTGGAAGTTGGTACTTGTTTTCTGCTTTGGCTCCCACAAGTTGCTCTAGGATCTGTACTCAGCTGTTTGTCCAGGCCCAGGTGGGGGATAGATATTTGCTACTTTGCTAAGAGCTGAAATTGACTGAAATTAACTAAAATTAACCACAATTTACCATACAGGCTTTCAAAAGGCCCCAAAGTTCCAAAATAGTTACTTCATACTGATTCTGCTGGTTAACTGTAGTGTAGGTGGAAAAACAGATATTGCTGGTGCTTCCTGCTCTGCAATCTTCCCAGCAGTGAGCCTTACTCATCCTTTTAAGATGAAAACTCCTTCCTGATCTCATACAAGTGTCTTGGATAGGTTCAACCATTGGCACAATGAGAACATTTCCATCACCTTCAAAAAGAAACCCTGTACCCTTTAATTACCAACTCAGTAGCCCTCCATACTGTCAACATTCATGTACTTGTGGACATGGTTTCATTTCTCTTGTGTATGTAATTAGGAGTAGAATTGCTGAGTCATATGGCAATTTTATGTTTAATCATTTGAAGAACTTGTAGACTGCTTTCCAAAGTGACTGTACCATTTTACATTCCCATCAGCAGTAGATGAGGGTTCTACTTTCTCCACATCTTAACCAACACTTGCTATTATCTGCCTTTTTGATTCTAGCCAACCTAATGGGTGTACAGTGGTATCACATTGTGGTTTTTGACTTGCAATTCCCTGATGACTAATAATATTGGGCATTTTTGAATGTGCACATTGGTCTTTTGTATATCTTCCTTGAGGAAATATCTATTCAGATCCTTTACCCATTTTTTGAAAGATTTTATTTATTTATTTTTAGAGAGAGGGGAAGGGAGGGAGAGAGAAAGGGAGAGAAACATCATGGTGTGAGAGAAATATCAATCCGTTTCCTCTTGCACCACCCCCAGCCAGGGAACTTGCCCACAACCCAAGTATGTGCCCTGACTGGGAATCAAACTGGTGACCTTTCAGTTTGCAGGCCAGAGCACAATCCACTGAACCACAGCAGCCAGGGTCCTTTACCAATTTTTAAAACTGGATTATTTATCTTTCTATCATTAGCCTGTAAGTGTTCTTCATATATTCTAGATACAATTCCTGTATCAGATACATGATTTGCAAATATTTTCTTCCATTTTGTGGGTTGTGTTTTCGCTTTCTCGATAGTGTTCTTTGAAGCACAAAAGTTTTAAATTTTGATTAACTTTGTATATATTCTCTTTTGTTGTTCATGCTTTTGGTGTCATGTCTAATATCACTGAAAATATGAGGTCAAGAAGATTCACCTCTATGTTTTCTTTTATGAGTTTTACAGTTTCACCTTTTACATGTAGGTCTTTGATCCATTTTGAGTTAGTTCATGTATATGATATGAGGTAAGAGTCCAACTTTACTCTCTTACAAATGAATATAGAGCTGTCTCAGCTCCGTTTGTCGAGAATGCTATTCTTTACCCCAGTGAGTGGTCATGGCACCTTTGTTGAAAATAAATTGACTATAGACATATGGGCTTATTTCTGGGCTCTCAATTCTATTCCCGTTGACCTAAATATCTGCCCTTATGCAAGTACCACATTATTTTGATTACTGCTGCCTTGTAGTAAATTTTGAAATCAGGACATATGAGTCATCCTACTTTATTCTTCTGAATTTTCAGGATTGTTTTGATTATTTGGCATCCCTTTCAATTCCATATGATTAGAACCAGCTTGTCAATTTCTGCAAAGAAGTAAGCTGGGATTCTGATAGGTATTCCATTGAACGTGTAGGCCAGTTTGGGGAATATTGCTATCTTAACATCATGTCTTCCAAACCATGAACACGGGATTTTTTCCCATTTATTTAGATCTTCTTTGATTCATTTCAACCATGTTTTGTAGTTTTCAGAATGTTTTACATTTCCTTTGTTAAATTTATTCACAAGTATTTTATTCTTTTTTATACTTTTTTCCTTTCTTTAATTATTCTTATTTATCCTATTATAGTTGCTCAGTTTTTCTCCCTTTGCCCTCCTTTGCCCAGCCCCATGCCCCAGTCCCACACCACTGTCCATGTCCATGGGTCATTCACACATGCTCTTTGACTAGTCCCTTCCCCTTCCTTCCACCATTCCCATCTCACCTCCCCTTTGGCAGCTGCCAGTCTGCTCCGTGTTCCCATATCTCTAGTTCTGTTTTGCTGGTTAGTTTATTTTGTTTATTAGATTTCTCTTATAAGTGAGATCATATGGTATCTGTCTTTCACTGCCTGGCTTATTTCACTTAGCATAATAGTCTCCAGTTCCACCCATGCTGTTGCAAAGGGTAGAAGCTCCTTCTTTCTTTCTGCTGTATAGTATTCCATTGTGTAAATGTACCACAGTTTTTTAAATCTACCCATCTACTGAAGGGCACTTTGATACTTTTGTGAATAGAATTACTTTTAATAATTTCATTTTCAGATTGTTCATTGCAAATATCTAAAAATACAATTAATTAACTTGTATATATTGACCTTGTATCTTGCTGCGTTGTTGAACTTGTGTATTAGTCCTAATAACTTGTTTAGAGGTTTCTTTAAGATTTTTTTATGCAAGATCATATCATCTATGTACAAAGACATCTTTACTTCTTTCTTCCCAATTTGGATGACTTTTATTTCATGTCCAGTAGGGCTTGGACTTCCCCACACTCTGTTGCAGATGAAGTCAGTTCCTTTTGCGGAGAGGTCAACAGCTGTCTGTTTTACGATCTGCTTGTTCCCCTGGGTAGGAATCTCCGAGCTTTGGAGCTGGATGGTAAGCTTCTCTCTGAGTGACACCTTCGGTTAACTGTTATCCTAGGCCCCTTCGTTGTAGCTTTAAGATAAGTAACACTGAAAAAAGAGCCTATACTCAGGTTAAATATCCGTCCTTAAAGCAGAAAAGGATGCTAGATTCAACATAAACTGTCCTAGGAAAACAGAGGTCGACCCATAGCTCCAGGTTTTAATGACAGTGACTGAAGTATGAGTACAAACAGGAAGCATAGGATGTTCCTGACACCCAGGCTGACTCCACCTGTCCCAGACCCTCCAGCGTGAAGCCGAATTTCAGGTAAGACTTTGATTCATGGACCATAGAGAAAAACGCAATTCTCCAGCATATGACTCTCCTGAGGGAGGAGGAAATGCCTCACTCTAGCTCATGGGTGACGCTCCTGCTCAGGCCCTGGAGCCAAGTGCTCTGGGTCCCTGCTGGGTCCCTGGGTTTGGTGCTGGGGCCCCAGTTACCTCCTGCATGCGTAGTTGTTTCTGCTGTCAGTTTGTCCCCTGGTCCTCATGATGCAGGACAGCTTCTGCAGCAGCAGGCGGTTGTCCCTGTCTATGACAGAGAGCCGCTCCTCCTCCAGCTGTGGGCAGACACACAAGGAGCCTTTAGAAGCGCCCACTGAATCTGTGCTCCACTATGCACTGATTGACTCAAAGGAACCTTTCAGCCCCACACTTTGACTCGAGCACCCTGTGAGTTCCACTTTGCCTCCCCCAACATCCGCAAATGCTGCTGTAGCGAGCTTCAGCAGTAAGTGCGCCGTGCACAGGCCCCTTCGTCCATGAACTGGAAGACATTAGGAGGGAGCCACATCTCTCAAGCTCGGAGTGAAAGTAGCAGCAAGGATGATATGACTCTTTGTGAAATTAGGTCACCCTCTAACACTCTGACCCATGACAGTGACGCTAACGAGAAAATTGCTTTAGATTTTAAGAAAGATATTTTACATTGTTCAGAAGAAAAAAAGATTTATACCCAGAGGAAACAACGATTTTCTTGCTGTGGGTTTTTAAATTGATTGATCTTCTGATTGGCTCGACACTGGTTACTTAGTTTTTGTTCTTCCCATTTAGGCCATTGTTACTTAACAAGCACATAAAAAGCACACAGCACTTTGCCTCTGGAGGCAATCCTGCCAGCATAACATGTGATTCTTACTTACACTAGATGGTTTAAGCTTCAAGAAAGAAATATTCTGAGGTGGCCATGAAATGGCCTGGTATAAATAAATGATGCTAACCAATCAATTACTATAGAACTGCACTAAGTAAATTACCACTGCGAATTTCCTCTCCTCCCACTCCCTCTTTTCCAGAAGACCTAATGGATCTATAGGAAGACTAGAGAAAGATTTCTGGAGCAATCACCACGCATTTCCATTTGGAGTAGTGACAAGGGTAATTGGTTGCCTAGATGGCATTTTACTTTGATAGTAACTTGTTTATTGTTCACTGAACCTGTCAGTTCCATTTTCCTGGGTTTTTAAGCTGACATTTTCTAGTTAGCTATGATGGTAGCTGAGAGGTAAAACTGAAGGACACCTTGAGCTTCTTGAGGTTCAAGTGAAAGTGGCTGAGAGACCATGGGGCATGGGTATCCACGAGTGGCTGGGCATCCTGGACCTATGGCACAAAGAGAGTGGTGTGACCTCAGGCACGCTGTAACAGATAATTAATGTGAGCTTAGATTGTGCAGCTTCTGGGTTTGCTGGCACTGGGGACAAGTATAGGTCATTTTTCATGGCACCAAAGCTTCAAGTCAGCCTGTGGCTGAAAAGTTCTGAATGAGGCTCAGGACTTGATTCAGAATCCGACTATCCCCTGGAGGAACCAGGCAGCCCTCAAAAATGAGCCTGCAATGTCATTTTTAAATGGCGAATTAAATGGGTACAGAGTGAGGATTCATTAACCGTCACCACCAGCTGACATTTCTGTTCTGCACTCTGTTGCCAAAGGCCTTTAAGACAGTGAATTATGTCCCTGTATCCACCTCACTCTAATCTCTGAGCCTCCAGTAGTATTTTCAGGATGAGCACTTTAAACACTGATTAGTGCAAAATGATCCCCACAGAGTCTCCTATCAGAAAAATGTATAAATGAGAGAAATTTATATTTTAAAATATGATGGACTAAGTGCATGAGGACTGTTTACCATTTGCAATAAAAAGGAACCCCCCAAATTCTATAGAGATACTTACCTATGTACATCACTAACTAGTGGGACCATTAGTTGATAATCTGAAAGCAACAGCATTGGGAAGCCCCTCCCGCTGCATCTGTCTAAAATCATGCACTCCTGGGATCAAACCCATGGAGTGTGTGGTCTTGGAACAGAGCACATGTGGGGAGAGCTGGGAGTTAGGGAAAGCGCTAGATGGTGAGAAGGTCTGAATAACACACTCACTTTGGAATGCTTTTAAAGTTTTATTTTGTTTTATAATATGCAGAAATATTTACATGGCTCCAAAGTCAAATCTGTGAAACAACTCATTTTTCAAAGTGGCCTAAGCCCCATACCTATCATCTTTGCCCTATTCCCTACTGACAAACCTTCTAATTCTCTTTTCTGAAAATATAAAGCTATATAATATGTGTATATGTATAAATATCTCTGTGTGTACATATAAATATATACATTTCACCACTTTTTAAATAAGCATCACATTGTACACATTTTCACCCCACTGTTTTTTTCATTTCAAAATACATTCTTGAGATAACTTTATAGTAATACACATAGATGTTTCTCATTCATTTTTATAGCTGCATAGTACCTCACTGTGTGAAAGCATCCTAATTATTCACCCAGCTCACTTTTGATGGTCATTTTGGTTAGTTCCAATTTTGCTATTACAAACAACACTGCAATTAGAATCTTTTGCAATTTTTTTTGTTTCTTTGCCAGTGTACCTCTGGAATGGATACTTAGAAATGGGACTTCTGGGTAAAGGAAAAACCCATGTATCATTTCATTAAACATTGCTAAACTACCCCTCCCCCGCACACACACAGGGCTGCGCCCTTTTGCCCACCAGAGCACTGTCCACATGTTTGGGGAGCGGTGCCAATCTGAGAGTTGGGAAATGGTATTAGAGTGCAAGGTTAATTCGCATTTCTCTGTCATACATGAAGTTGATAATCTTTTTATAGGTTAAGAGCTATTTGCAATTATTTTTCTGTGAACTTTTCTTCATATCACTTGCCCATTTTCATATGGGATTGTGTTTGCATTTTTCTTTTTTTTTAGACATTCTTTCTACATAAGGATATTAACCCTATATCTCTGATATAAGTTGTAATTATTTTGCCCAATTTATATTCATTTCTTTTTTCTTTAATTCTTTTGGGTTCATCAGTTATTTAATCATTTCATGCACAAAGAGGAAAATGACATCTATTTTCTTGCCCAATGGATTTGTGTTGTCTTCTTGCATCGGCCAATGCCTCTGACGCTGTTTGAAAGCACATAAGAGATAGTAGTTATCCTTGTCTTATTTTTTACTTTATAAGGAATCATTTTAGTGTTTCTCTGTCAATTAAGATACTGGTTTAGGGATGAGATACTTATGTTTCATTGTATTAGAGAAATAGCAACAGCAATTTGTATTTCATTGAGGTCATTTTGATTTTACGTCAGCATAAGTGTGTGTTCAGTATAAGGTAGAAGGCTCTGTTGAGATTCTAGGGTGAGGGTGACATGTTGGATTCCAGAGATGACTCTGGGCACATCGATCTCCTTCCGGTCAGTTTTTCCCCCTCTACTGCATCAAAGTTTCTTATATTCCCAGGGTTCTCAGCCAAGCAGTAAGAAACAAACTTACTCTTTTTTAAAAATATATTTTATTGATTATGCTATTACAGTTGTCCCATTTCCCCCCTTCACTCCCCTCCACCCTGTACACCCTCCCACCCATATCCCCCCCATTAGTCATGTCCATGTATCATACTTATAATTTCTTTAGCTTCTACATTTCCCATACTATTCTTGCCCTCCCCCTATCTATTATCAACCTACATTCTATGCTACTTATTCTCTGTACCTTTTCCCCCTCTCTCTTCCTCCCACTCCCCTGTTGCTAACCCTCCATGTGATCTCCATTTCTGTGGTTCTATTCCTGTTCTAGTTGTTTGCTTAGTTTCTTTTGGTTTTGCTTTAGGTGTGGTTGTTAATAATTGTGAGTTTGCTGTCCTTTTGCTATACATGTTTTTTCTTTATCTTCTTTTCTTAGATAAGTCCCTTTAACATTTCATAAAATAAGGGCTTGGTGATGATGAACTCCTTTAACTTGACCTTATCTGAGAAGCACTTGATCTGCCCTTCCATTCTAAATGAGAGCTTTGCTGGATAGAGTAATCTGGGATATAGGTCCTTGTCTTTCATGACTTGGAATATTTCTTTTCAGCCCCTTCTTGCCTGTAAGGTCTCTTTTGAGAAATCAGCTGACAGTCTTATGGGAACTCCTTTGTAGGTGACTGTCCCCTTATCTCTTGCTGCTTCTAGGATTCTCTCCTTCATTTTTACCTTGGCTAATGTAATTATGATGTGCCTTGGTGTGTTTCTTCTTGGGTCCAACTTCTTTGGGGCTCTCTGAGCTTCCTGGATTTCCTGGAAGTCTATTTCCTTTGCCAGAGTGGGGAAGTTCTCCTTTATTATTTGTTCAAATATGTGCTCAATCTGTTGCTTTTCCTCTTCCCTTTCTGGTACCCCTATAATTCGGATGTTGGAACGTTTAAAGATGTCCTGGAGATTCCTAAGCTTGTCCTCGTTTTTTTGAATTCTTATTTCTTCATTCTTTCCTGCTTGGTTGTTTTTTTCTTCCTTCTGGTCCACTCTATTGTTTTGAGTCCCAGTTTCCTTCCCATCACTATTGGTTCTCCGTGCATATTCCTTCATCTCTTTTATGGTAACCTGCATTTTTTCATGTAATTTGCGCCTAAAATCAACCAATTCTGTGAGCTTCCTGATCACCAGTGTTTTGAACTGTGCATCTGATAGATTGGCTATTTCTTGGTTGCTCAAAAGGATGAGTCCTGGGGGACTGATCTGTTCTTTTGTTGGAGACATGTCTCTCTCTCTCCTTTTTTTTTTTTTTTCGGTCTGGTCGCTCTTGTTACGGTGAGGGGCAGAGCCTTAGGTGTTCACCTAGGCTGGGCACCCCAGTCACTAGATTGTGACATTGTATGTGGGGGCAGGGGCAGGGGCGGGAGGGAACAATGGCGGTAGCTCCGTTCTCCTGGGACCTCAGTCTCTTCTCTGGGATCCTGGGTTGCGTGCTCTGCCCTCCACAATGCCGCCTTACTGGGTCTGCCAGCCGCCACTTGCATACTCAGGGTCCACCGCTGTGTCCTGGAAGGCTTACGCGCTCCTGGTTGCCTTATGTGCCCAGTTCTCCCCGATCTCCACGCGCTGCAACCTGCGCCCGCTCCTCCTCTCAGCCCCTCCTACCGGTCTGGATGAACGGGTCTACTTCAATTTCTTGGCTGTCCGACTTCCATTCAGATAAATTCTCTATCAGTTCTGGGTGTTATTCTAGCTCTAAATTGTTGTTCTAATCTTGGTTGTGTGTGGAGGTATGGTGCGTCCACCTATGCCTCCATGTTGCCGGAAGTCCTCGAAACAAACTTACTCTTAAAAGCAGAATTCCCCCTACTCTTAATATGGAAGAAATTCGTTCTAGGCAAAGTTTTAATGCCAAGCGGTGAGGTTTGGAGTGGTAAGGGAGTCTCACTGGCTCTTTACTGATGCTTCCAGGCAGAGCAGGTGGCTCCCACACCCGCAGCTCTCGCCCCTCCTCGCCCCTCCTCGCCCTTCTTTCTGCTGCAGGTCCACGCTTCTCCTCGTTCTCCGGGGCCTTTAGCATCTGGACCACGGTCTTGTCTTCCCCTGAATGAGTTCTGCCCCAGGGAGACAGCTGTGCCAGGGCGCCAGGCATCGTGCTCACACGGAACCGGGCCTTTGGGAGCTGCGCTTCAGTTGTCCCATCCCTCACCCAGGGTCCCTGTCTTTTCAGTTTCATAGTTGACTGCCCAAGACTGACTCCTTGACCTTATGTGGCTCCCTGCGCCTCTCCCTCACGGGCTTCCTGTCTTTACTTCATCCCGCTCCTGGTAAGATCTGGGGCTCTCCCTTTAACACCTCGTGCCAGGATCATTGGCTTCCTGGCCCCGTGTCCTGCTGCTGGCCACAAGCCAGACTGGGGCGTGCCAGCGCTCCACTGTTAGACCCAGCAACCAGGTGTCTCTGGGACGTCGCAGAACTGCTGCCTCAGTGCTGTGTGCACTTCGGCTCCCCAGCCATGCCTGGGGCCCTGTGCCCTCCGTCAGTACCCTGGTTCCTTCCATTTACTCAGCTCTCCACTTTCCATGGTGAATGTTTTCAGTCCTCCGTACACTGGGGTGTTTACAGACCACCTGTCTCTCTCCAGGGACGATTCAAAGAGCTGGTGCTGATTGACTTATACGTGTTACTATCATGCATACCCTTTTCCGTCTTCCCCTAGCAATGACAGTTTACTACGAGCACCTATTCTAGGTGTTGAGAATATCATGGTAACAGGAAGTAGCCACCAGTCTCACAGACTGGGGGCAACAAATGAAATAAAATAATAAATCAGTTACATCAATCATGAAGTGACATGAGACAGCAAAAGAAGGGAGTACAGAGCGATGCGGAGGTGTGCTTCTTAGAGAGGCCACAGACAAGACTTCTCAGAGGTCTAAGGAAGTGGGGTGAGCCCTGTGACAACCGGGTGAAGAGTGTCACTGGGACTCTCAAGGGGTCAATGGGTTCAGGGCCCACTTGTGCATGTGGGCACTGGGCCAGCCTTGCAGCAAGTGCCACCTGAGCTTCCCTGAGGCCATTGTGTCACACTTCAACCCAGGCAGGCAGAACCCTCAAGGAGAAGATGGGCTCTCCTGGGTGCGCCGCGCAGGGGGATCGCTTCAGAGGGATCGCTTCAGAACCACAGAGCAGCAGCCTCTTCCAGAACGTCCCCTTGAGTGTTTTTCAGTCTCGAGGAACACAGCTGGGGAGACATGACCAGCCGAGCACCGAGCAGTTGGATGGGTCCCCTGAGGTTTCACAGGCCGAAGACTATGGCAAGCCATTTTCAAACCACATGGCGACCTTCTCAAAAGACATCCACATTGGCATCAAATAAAGTGGAAATAATAATGACTCTCCCAATGGAGATGAAAGTTGGCTTTTTGTCCCCACTGGAGTATGCTGTTTTCATAGGGGGAATGGTCCTTCGGATCTTTTTTTTTTTTTTAAGATTTATTTGTTTTAAGACAGAGGAGAAGGGAAGGAAACAGAGAGGGAGAGAAACATCAATGTGTAGTTGCTTCTCACGCACCCCTACTGGGGACCTGGCCCGCAACCCAGGCATGTGCCCTGATTGGGAATCAAACCAGTGACCCTTTTGTTCGCAGGCTGGTGCTCAATCCACTGAGCTGAACCAGCCAGGGCCCTTCATATCTTTTTGTCTGAAGGTACTTTTGAGTAATTTATGAAAAGTTAAGTACTTTATAAACATATGCCTTAATTGTGAAAAAAATGGTCCTAAAACATGACATATGAAACCATAATCCATTTAATGGAATTTTATTGTATGGCAACATATATGACCAACTTTTTAAGGAAATGTCATTTCAACCATTCCACCTCTGAAAAGAAAACTAGCTTTTGGTTTCCAGGGAAAGCCCTGGCATTTCATAGTTGCTGCTTTGGGGGCCTCGCCCTGAGCTCTCAGGGCCTGGCTCTGGCCTTTCCTACCTTTTTCCTGTGATCCTGGTAGGCTTTCTCCCATGTGCTCTGCAGGCACTCACTTCTGCACGGAAGCATCAGCCGGGGTACCCTGGGCATCTCAAACACCACCACCAACCTGCTCCCTGCAGCCAGAAACTGGTTCAAGCTGAGCTGCAGCTCTGGAGAGGACAGTGTTTGCTGGGTCACATGACAGTTGTCATGGCATCCAAGCTGCGGAGAAAAGAGAGAGGGCCTGAGAACCGCCTGTGTGTGCTTAACAAAGAATTGAATATTCTTCCACTCCAATGAGTACTTTCTTAAGAGATCTCGCATCGCCTAGTGATGCCACTTTGATGACTGCCCCTCACCTCCCCCATATTCATGACCAGGTCAAAGAATTGCTCCTCCAACTAACTTTTTCTCCTTTCCGTTCTTCCCTCTTTTCTTGCTTTCTCCTTCCCCTGTCCCCTTGTCTTCTCCTTCCCTTCTTCCTCAGGGTTTCTCCTTCCTCCCTCCCTTCCTCCCTTCCTCCCTTGCTTATCTCCTTTCTTTCTTATCATTTAATAATATATAATAATTTCCAATTATTTTATTTGCCATTTAGGTGGCAGATCTTCATTAAGTTTTTTTCAATTGATTTGAGGATTAGTTATGGAAAGTTTTAGCCACTTTAAGCCATTCCTTGCTCAGTGGCTTTTATCTGGTTGGGCTGAGTTTTCCATGGGATGAATGAAGTAAAAGTCATGTTGGCCTATCCGTTGAGTCATACATGCATCTTTGTTGAAGTCATATATGTCATTTTGGAGATGACGTGATTAGAAGAATTGGTTAACAACAAAATAGCAATATTATTTTCATTTCAGAATTCTAGTCTTCATGACATTACAGTATCCATTACGAAAACTGTTGTAGTGCCAAATTAGTGAATGGGAACTCATTGTTCATCTGTGTGTAAATAAAGAAAAGGGGCATTTTATGAGAAATAGTGTTTTGCCTATTGGCGTGATTCAGAGCCTGTCAGTCTGAAAGAGAATTAACCAACCTAAATTGAATCAGCTTAGGGGAAAAGTAAGATGTGGATAAAATCAGAATATGATTGTCCTTCTTCCCACTTTAGGCAGCTGAGTTACACCGTACTTTGCTGGTTCTTATGATCTTCAAAGTTTTGGTAAAAACCTTGCAGGCTGGTAAAATGTTGATGTACTGACAGTTAAAAAGTTGTCTGGGTTTTTCAAAGAACTCCTTTATATTTTTTAGTTCAGAATTGTCCACAAGTAATAACTTTAGAAAACTATGCCCTGGCTGGCGTGGGTCAGTGAGTCGAGTGCTGGCCTACGATCTGTCAAGTTGCTGGTTCAATTCCTGGGCAGGGCACGTGTCTGGGCTGTGGGCCAGATCCCCCGTTGGGGGTGTGTGAGAAGTAACCAATTGATGTTTTTCTAGCACATCAATGTCTCTCTCCTTCTCTTTCTCCCTTACACTCTCTATAAAAAGTAAAATCTTTTTTAAAAAGTAAAAAGCTATACATGTACAGTAGAAAATAGATGTAAGCCCTGGCTGGCGTAGCTCAGTGGATTGAGCGCGGGCCAGGAACCAAAGTGTCCCAGGTTCGATTCCCAGCCAGGGTACATTCCTGGGTTGCAGGCTATAACCCCCAGCAACCACACATTGATCTCTCTTTCTCTCTCCCACTCCCTCCCTTCCCTCCCTAAAAATAAATAAATAAAATATTTAAAAAAAAATAAAGTGACCTTACAAAAATAATTAAAAAAAAAAAAGAAAATAGATGTAAGAATTACTACTTAAAAAATAAAGCCAACACTTTAAGACATAGATTTCATTAGGATTTCTTAACCTATAAAATCCATATGTCACAGTCAGAGGAATTTTATTAAAATAATTTCCTTTACCCAATTATTGTCTTTGATCAAGCCCAATATTAGTAGTTGTTCACTAAGTATCTACTATTAATGATGATGGAAATCATGATGATAATGTTAATGAATGATTCCCCATCTGAGATTGTTTTTGTTCAGACTGTAAGGCTGGTTCTACCTGATTCTTACCTTCCCCTTTTCCTGAAGCCTGTTTGCCACCCATGCTGAGAAACTTCTGACAATGCTTAGTGTTGCTGCCAGTCAGCTGCGGGGGGAGGATGTGGGGCGGGGAGGCCGTGTTCTGTCCAGTTTGCTCACATTCGGTGGACAGACCGTAGGTTGAGGGCCAAGTAGAAACTGGAGGGGGTTTTTGATGATGTGAGTACTCATAATGTTTTGATACACATATTGGTTTTGATGCTCCTTTTCAAATGAGTGACCTTGAGGAAGAGTCCTAGCCATCTATGTTTATTCTTTTTTTTAAAGATTTTATTTATTTATTTATTTATTTATTTATTTATATTTATAGAGAGAAGGGAAGGGAGGAAGAAACAGAGGGAGAGAAACATCAATGTGTGGTTGCTTCTCAGGTGCCCCCCCAGGGGATCTGGCCCACAACCCAGGCATGTGTCCTGACTAGGAATCAAACCAGCAACATTTTGGTTTGCAGGCCCGTGCTCAATCCACTGAGCTACACCAGCTAGGGCTCTATGTTTATTCTCGACTGACTAACCACTCAGTTAACATTTGCTATTTGATTAGACTCGATGGTACAGCCCAACACAAAGGATCTGGAAAAATTAAAGATGCCTCCCATCAATTGCATGACCTGGATTTCCACACACCCGCCCCACAGGCTCAGACTACATTTTAGTTCTTACCGTGTCTTAAAAAGATCCGACCAGAAAAGTCAGTTAACCAGTAGCTTTTTGGAATCTATCCTGAGGAAATCATCTGAAAACAGTGATAAGGATTTATACACATCAAAGAATTACTCATAAATGTGGAAAATTGAAAAGTCTGCAGTTTAATGAATAGAAAGTATCAATGTAAGTTTCCACTAATGTTCTTTTCCTTGTTCCAAGATCTATTCCATGCCACCACTTTGCATTTTGTGAGTTTTTAAGTAGACACTACTTTTTTAAAATATTGAGCTTGGTTTGAATATTTAATATCACATGGTTTCTACTCACACCTTGCAGGAAATAAACACAAAAGCCTAGTTTTGATTTTATTATTAAGATAATAACTGTATGTTCGGCTGCAGCCTTAATCAGTGTTTTGGCCCAGTACTGACTTGAATATTGTGTTTATTAGAAATGTCTTGAAGAAAAAGAAGAAGAAAGAAATGCCTTGAAATGTCACCAAATGATACATATCCTGAGTACGTGAAGGCCACTGCATAGAATTGATTGTTGTATTGTTTATAATAAAATATGTGGTATAAAGTCTTTGTGATATAACATGTATTAATTAAATCCTTAATGTTCATAACTCTTTTCATGTGTCCCATGACTATCCCTTTATGCTCAAGCTTTGCTTTGTATGTCCCCGTGCTCTCGCATAAGAACAGTGAGCTCAAAACAAAGCAACAGACTTCATTCTTTTATTTTTTTAATGGATATTTTTTAAAGAGACAGAGAAGAAGAGAGAGATAAAACATCGGCCCGCTGTTCCACCTATTCATGCCTCCTGGGTTGGTTCTTGCGTGCGTCCTGACCGGCAACCTTGAACCCAGCAACCCTGGTGCGTTGGGGCGATGCTCCAACCCACTGAGCAAGCTGGCGAGGGCCCCGACTTCATTCTCATTCCACCGGACAGAGTAGTTTAAAAACAAACTCAGATGACTTCAGATTCATTCAACGCTTGGAGGGCAAAGGTGCTCATAGTGTTGTGTCACAGAAAAAAAATGAATGAGTCTCCAGTACCCTCTGTTGTGTGGGTGACTAACTCAGGGACCTTAGTTAAAGACCAGGATGCCTGCTTCCAGTAGGATGGGCCAAGCTGCTTTCCTCCCACTGAAAACAGCGGAAAATCCTGCACGTTGTCTTAAACGCATTAAGGAGTTGGCAGAGGTGTCAGGAACTTCCAGGCTACGGTCAAGGGAATCAGAGCCCTGAGCCAGCACACAGGGGGTTCCTCCTGGGGGTGCTCATGGTCCTGAGAGTTGGAGGCTTGGCAGGTGAGAAAGACAGGTGGGGAGACTAATAGGAGACAGAGGCTGCACGCTCAGGAAGAAGTGAATCAGAAATAATTGCCGCCCTGGAAAGCAACTGCCAGGTTACTGCAGAGCAGGGGCAAAATGGGGGAAAGTTCCTGCAGCCCGTATTTGCAAGGCCTAGGCAGCCAAGACACACTCAAACAGTGAAAATGGCTACAGTAGCTTCAGGCTGACGGCGTTCCAAGATGCCGGGGAAGAGTGATGGCTCTGTCTCGAGAAGCCTCAGACTTCCCCAGTGCTTGCGTGGCATGAACTGTGACCATGGCTAGAACCAGCACAAACCTCGAGAACAGACTTCTCGAGGAGTCCTTCAGACTCCTACAGTACTGAAATCACAAGACACAGATTATAGGACAACTACACTTACTGTGTTTTGAGGAGAATGAAACCAAAAAGCGACAGAACTGGAAATAACTACAGGGTACAGGAAATCACAAAAATTTTTAATATAGGAGGGAACATTTACAAAATTTGACCATATGCTGAGCTGTAAAAAAAGTCTTTCAAGTTTCAAAGACTGCAATCACACAGATAATGTTGGCTGTGGGATTGAGCTAGGAATTAACAGCAAATGATAACTCAGACTCCCATATATTTGGAAATGAAGCAATGCCATTTTCAGGTTGAGAACATGACAGGGGTGTCCCTGTGACCTTCAGGAGGTGCTACTAGTATAAACTGGGTACATTTGTTGGGTGTTGGAACATAAGAAGTTCTAGTTGCCAGTAATTAGTAATGCCGATGTTAACTGTAGCCTTAGTTAGGTAATTGCTCCTTAAGAATGTAGTATAGGGCCCTGGCTGGTGTGGCTCAGTGGACTGAGTGCTGCCCTGAGAACCAAAGGATCACAGGTTCGATTCCCAATCAGGGCACATGCCTTGGTTGCCCGCCAGGTCCCCAGAAGGGGGCGTGTGAGAGGTACCACACATTAATGTTTCTCTCCCTTTCTTTCTCCGTCCCTTCCCCTCTCTAAAAATAAATAAATAAAATCTTTAAAAAAAAAAGAATGTAGTACAGGA